ATTTCGACGCAACGTATTTCGTTAGCGGAGAACGATACTTTTTCTGGCAAATAAAATACCGCCGCATACATCAGAAAAATTGTTCGCGAAGAGTCGTTGAGACTGTTAAACCCTCGGATATAACGAAAGCTTACCGATTTCATATTTACATATTATTAGATACTCTGTATTAGAGAGAATGCTCTTTTACGATCGGCGCATGTCCAGATGCAGTTGTAAATCATTTCGATGATCGTTAAGAGCCACTAGAGTAACTTTTCCCAACTCGCTGGTTGCTAAAATCGCCGCTTTCCCAAGCGATCGTATAAAAAGTCAACCAGATCCGCGCGATAATCAGATAATCAGAGCTCGCAGAACTGGAACTCGACTAATTTCCAACTTGGTTGTTCCCCTTCTTCTACGAAATTCCCGGGGAATTATCGGACGTGGCTGTTGGAAGCAGAGGGAAGCGCGCAGGGTAGAATGGCAAAGTCGGTCGGTTCGCGTCCCAGAAGTCGTCCCGTAGCGATCGTGCCAGCCGAAAACCCGGCGCGAGCGTGTCGCGTTCCGTGTGGCTAGGGGGTGGCGTCCGCGCAGGGGATGCCAAGGTGCAGACGCCCCCGGTGCTGCCGCCAGCTTAGCGGAGACTAGCGGAAAGCGGGAAACCTGTTCGTCCACAGTTCATCACGGCCTCGCAAGCCGTTCGAACGGACACACGGCCTCGTCGCGTTCCGCCATCGCCGATCCATCTCGTCGTGTAAACAAAATCCACGGCCTCGCGTATCGCCAACTATTCTCTCGTCGTCGAACCGCCATCTCCTCCAACCTCGTGTTTGTCGAATCGATCGCGTCCAACGAGCACCGCGTCCGATCGTTAGCGTCACGTGTCCTGCCAATCTTCTCCTTCCAATCGAATCAAACGGATCGAAAGGACTAAACGGTTGTCTTTTATCATCGATCGGCAGGTTCGACCGACCGATCTAATTTTCGACAGCGACAGCGACAGCGACAGCGACAGCGACAGAGAATTCTTTTCGATGAAGAATTCTAGTTCGGCGGTAGATCGGTCGATCTTTGGTCGGACCCGCGACGGATAATTACGATGACTCGTTGAAACGAGCTGTGACAAGCGGATTCGAAACACGTGGCCTGAGTTTAGCCGCGGTTGTTGCGCGATTCGCTAAATCCCGAGCGCACAAGCGCCGCTACGTTATGTCAGCGAGTCGTATCGTAAATTGTTTCCGTCCGACGTGAGTCGGACAAATAAACGGAGACGTTTTAAAAACAGGCGTTTAAAGTTTACAGGAAAGAAGGAGAAACAGAAGAGAAAAAAAAGGGGGTGAATGTGGAGAAAGAACGCTTTTTAAAAAATATCGTACGAACAAAAGCATCGTGGTTCGTTCTAGCAACCGACAAACGTCAGAGCAAATCGATCGGAATCTAGATTAGAATTTAAGATCAAAGAGACTGGTCCGAGAAACATCGTCAAAGTTGCCGTCTTGCGTGGGCTCTCTTGCGTTAAGATCGATCGTGTTAGAAAGTGCGATAGAACAAAGTGTTTCGTAGAGAACTGCCCCCGAGTTGATCGAAAGTGAGACAGAAACGAGTTCGACGAGTGTTTGCGCGATATTTTGCCAACGATATGGGCGATCGAAGAATCCGTTAACGAAACGTTGACCGGAAATAGAAGGACGTTGCAAGAGCGAATCGAAACGAGAGCTTGCCGTCGGATACGATGACGTGCGATACACGTCGGGAATCACAGCACCTGTGGAACCTCGAGGTAAACCGTTTACCTTTCTACGTACCTATCCGTTATCCGATTTACCTTGAATATCGCATTCCCTCGAGCATCCGTCGAATCGAATAGTTTCATTGCTCACGGGGATACTGGTGGAAATCCGCAATTACTCTTTCTATCCTATCTCTATCCGATACCAAAGTATCTTTTACTCATTTTTAACCGCACTATCTTCGTTCTAAAATTATACTCATAAATCGACGATTCGATCGTTTCATTCTTTACAATCGCTATAGTTGCGTATGCAGGTCAACGATGCGAGTACATCGCGAATGTTTACGCGTTTAAAGAAAATTTCAATTTGCGAAAATCTACAGTATGGTACAGTATACACACACACACACACACACACATCTCCGGTACTCGTTTCTCCATTTTCGGTACAAACTCCTGACGGTTCCATTCCTCTTCGTAAAAAGGTGTACGTAGCGAAAGTAATCAAGCAGAGCCGAGACGAGACGGAAAATTGCAGCCAATCGAGATGGTCGGAAAAGCACGATTCGAAATTTCTATATTCTTGGCGATGCGAACAAGGCGAACGAAGGGAAGAAAGGGTAAGAGGTGTCGTAAAAGCGTTACGAGACCAACGGACGAACGTTTCCACGTCTTAGTCTCAGTCTGCTCGATTTACCAACGTTTCACGCCAGTAGTACAAGCGCAGCATACGCCCGGCATCGTAGGGCTTCCTCGCAGTACGCAGTAACGAAGCGAAATTTGATAAAACCGAGCCGATCCGAGACTACACTTTTCCAAGATGAACACTTTGTCGATGTACCAGATGTTCGAAAGATGATTACCAGTCATCGCTTGGACGTAGCTGTTGTTTTATCGTTATGACGTTATTATCGTCGTATGATTTTATCGATCGTACGATTTCAGCGATTAGCGGTAAACTTTCGGTAAATACAGGATTATCCGAAAGAATGTATTACGCGTTTAAAAGGTGAATCCAATACTCGATACTTGCGCGATGGAATATAGTATCGCGTCAGAGCATAAACCGTCGTGCTTGTTAAAAAGTACGTTGAAAAACGCGTAGAAATTTTACAGCGATAAAGTTAGGAAAATATAAAAGTATGTTTGGCAATTTTTCTCAAACAAACAATACGAATAAATCGATTTATCGGTTACCACACGCTTAACGTGTATGCATATGTAGAGATGTGCACGATCCTGCATAATCGTGCATAATCGTGCATAATCGTGCGTAAATCGTGATCCTACGTAGAAGGGGGTCGCAGCTTCGCACCCTTGGCCAAGTGCAGAGGACCAGAGTAGATCTAGTTCCAGGTTGTTTACACTGTGCCGTTACTAACGCGCTACTTACACTGTTGCGCTTAACGAGTTAGACCGCGAGTTGGTCGATTAAGTTAATCTACGGTAGCTGTACCGTTAACTGTAACGACGATTTAATAATTCTTTGCCTGTAATTGCTCTCGCTAATAACATCGAACGCCGAAACGCAATTTACGAATAAATTTCCCGCTGTGATTATATCGCCAGATTAGTGGCACGCCGTTGCGAACGGTGGTTCTCAGGTTGTGCTTCGTTTCCGGAAACTCGATGTCGATCGCCGGTCAAAAGTGACGTTGAAATTGTGCGGCAGATTCGCGTGATTTTGAAATATCCAACGGGATAGATTTAATGTAGTTTTATTTGAAATAATGTAGCGAGAGGGAAAGTGAAAAATGAACGAGTTTAATCGACCGAGCGAACGATCGATCAATTACCGATGAGAAGGTGGAACCCGACGTTGAGGAAAATATAGTTGGCGATAATTAAATCGTAATGGGATTTAATTCGAATGGAAGGAAAAGGGACGACGGTATTTTATGACGCGAATCGACCGTGTGGCTAAATTAAAGCAGTAAATTAGCTTTTCAATTACTTCGATCCAAGGAAACAAACAGCCACGGAAGAATAAAACGACTGACAAGATTGGACAGTGTCTACATATGTATAGCTACCGTTAATAGCCGTAGAAAATAATTAGACTAAATAATTAGATTACCGGTCTGTAATAAATTGTAATAAAGCGAACAACTTTTATATTGTAATTTCGGAGGAACCGTTCAACGAACCGCGACCAACGATATTTGCTTTACGCTGCATATATCGGTCATCTTTCGATCGGCGTTCGTCATTTGTATTTCGCCAATGTATCGTTCCAGCCAATTCCCTCGTCGTAATCCCGTTTCGTTCGAAATTTAATTTTCTCTACGACGAGAAAGCACGTACGAATTTTGTAAAACCAGCGGATACGCACGTTTTACCGGTTCGATAATTTTTCGTTATTTTTCACATTGTGCAATCGCGAATAAGAGGAATCGACGCGAAATACGATTGTTTCTTTGAAAGTAGCCGAATGAAATTTACCGATTATCTTCCATCTATCTATTACGTATAACTATTATATTTATATAATTATAACTATCTTCGATTATATCTATAAAAACGGAAATATCGATAATTGCAATTACGTATGACGATATTGACGAGGGTCAAGTTAATATTATTACGAACCGTGCAAAAATCTTACTCTTGGGCGCACAAATACGGGATACGTAGCATATAAATCCAAGACTTTGCACATTTTGTCCACGTTGTAAGCTGAATAATACGCGTAGAAAAAGTAGTTTGTATTTCTAATGCAGCATTTCGAATGCGTCCGATTCGTATCAACGACGAAACAAAGTTTCTGCAAGATTTCGCACAGCTTCCATTCTCTTTTCCAATTTCAGACTCCGAAGATGTGGAAGAATCGCACGGAGCCGTGCCTCGTCTCGTCCTCGTTCGAGCAGCGTGAGTCACAGAATGGAAATGCAACCGTGCAACGTGCCGCCTGCAACTCGTCCAACGAATCGCCTCGAGAGTCTCTCGGTTCAGTCCCGAGCACGTATAAGACGATCGTTGCTCGAACCAACGGCGTTCACCGATGAATCCGACTCTGTCCTTAGGACTCGCGTTATCCCAGGAAAATGGCTGGCTGGGAACGGTGAAACGTGCAACGCAACTCGCATCCGTATCTAACCTTTCGATATCATCCGTTAGCCAGCTAAAGCAAAGTGGATTTCCCTGCTCGTTCGATGGCCCGGCGCAATCTGCGACGGAACCTGCGGCGTAACCTCGTCGACGAGGTCGTCGAAGTGGCGGACGAGGACGTGGAGCAGCGGCGCGGATCACGGTAACGGGACGGGAAGGGAAAAAGTGCTGGAAAACGCAGCGAAAGGGAGGAGCTGCGACGAGAAAGATGGAACTAAACGAGACGATGGAAGAGGATTCGAACAACAACACCGATCTATCGAGTCTGTCGAACGTGCTGGTCGATACTGGTCCATCGAATCGTTCCACGGATCCCTACGAACAGCAAAATGGCCACGAATTGGAACACGCGATTCTTCTAACGGTAAAAGCCATGGTAATGGGTTTCATCATTCTGTGCGCTCTGTTCGGCAATCTATTGGTGATCGTGTCGGTAATGAGGCACAGGAAGCTTCGCGTAATTACCAATTACTTCGTGGTCTCGTTGGCGTTGGCTGACATGTTGGTGGCCATTTTCGCCATGACGTTCAACGCGTCGGTCGAGCTGTCCGGAAGATGGCTGTTCGGCTATTTCATGTGCGACGTGTGGAACTCGCTGGACGTGTTCTTCAGCACCGTTTCGATTCTTCATCTGTGCTGCATCAGCGTGGATCGATATTACGCGATCGTGCAACCGTTGGACTATCCATTGATCATGACGAATCTTCGACTGAGCACCATGCTGAGCGTGGTTTGGTGCTCGCCGACGGTGATGAGCTTCCTGCCCATCTTCGCCGGCTGGTACACCACCGAAAAACATCTCGAGTTCAGAAGGAATTTTCCGGACGTGTGCGTGTTCCAAGTGAACAAACTCTATGCCGTGATTAGCTCCAGTGTCAGTTTCTGGCTGCCTGGAATCATCATGATCGCCATGTATTACAAGATTTATCGGGAGGCTGATCGTCAAGAGCGGATGCTCTATCGGTAAGTCTTTTCTTTTTCGTTCGTTTAACGCTCTAGGGCAAACAGCCACGAAAAATTATAGTTTACAGCGGCGCTACGAGTAACATTACGATGGTATCGTTAGAGGAAGATAATCGTTTAATTCTCTCTTTTTTTATTCTTTAATCGCGCTACGTTTGCAAAGGTAAACCCAGACGGTGCGTCTTTATCCGTTTACGAGTATCCTAAGTTCAACCATTTCTTTGGACTTTGCCAGCCAGCGGTGTGTAATAATTGGCCAGACGATCATCGCCGCTCTCAACTACGTACGCCGTATAGACGGCGAAGATTTCGATCGTATAAAAGATATTCGATGAGAATTTTAAATCCTAATTTTCGAGGAATTTCGGCTAAATCGAATCGTTCGATGGAACAACTCGATCGTAATCTTTCCTTCCTCTCGTCTTTCGTCTTATCTCGTTATACGCTTCGCCGTTATTTACAACTTTACTTCGCCGTTTGATATCTTCGAATCTGAAATTTGTTCGGCCTCTACCTACCAACTACGTTATGAATTCTTCGAATTTAACGAAATCTTTAGTTTTCGAAGTAAACTTTAACGCTTTGTAACGCGTGTTCGATTTTCATAAAATTCGTGAAATTCGTAATTGGATGAAATTTTTCATCGCAGCTATTCGTACGTACGAGACGAGATTAAACTCGACTCTTTGGTATCGAGTGACGCGAAACACCGTCGACTTCTCCACTCGTCCTTCTCTCCACCTTCTAATCGATATTCCAACGTGCTCTCGATCTCTTTCGAATCTCGCGTATTTTCAGTTCTGTTCAGTCGCCACTACATTAAATCCATTTCTAGATTGAAACGGCTCATCCTGCGTGCAAACCGGCTTCGACCGTGCACAATATGTCAATTTCGAAGATAGTTGCACCAACAAAGTCTACTAACAAAGGACTTGTTCTACCGCTGAAACGCGTATTTCATCTGTTCTTTCGTCGTTTCATCGTATTCTCGTAGCAACCAATTCGAATCGTCTCTTAGCACGGTACGTCAAATTTACGAAATGAGAAATATTTTGCATTCTACGAACAATTGCTCGGGCTCCGCTTCCTTCCGCGCTCCTTACAGATATCGGTAGCAGTTGCAGTGATCAAATTTTCCGATTTGATTTTTCTCGGTAATGGGCGAAGGACCGCGTTGTTTCTTCGCGAAACCGTTCGGCCGAGACGATCGTTTCCTGACGCTCGACGACACTTTCCGCGTCGGTGGCATCGGAAATATCGGAACGCGGTGGTTTCTCTCTTTTTCTCGTCGATCGGCAGTCGTCGGAAATTGGATACGTCGACGCGAATGTACCAGTTATCTCTAGCTGAGAACATTTATGCATCTTGCAAGAGTCGCTTGATTCGTCGACGCGCGGAATTAACGTCGCGTTGCTTCTCCGATATGTGTACGTGCTGCTATGTACACCGAGACACGAAAGTCTACGCAGCTAGTGGTTAACGAACGCGTTCGAACGGTCTTTGTTATATCGGCAAAATCTCAATTGCAATCTCTCTCTCTCTCTTTTTTAAAGAAAATATATTTTATAGTCATTTATGTACTAGTACTACTTATGTATAGTCATTTATTATGTATAGTCATTTACATACGGAAAAAGGAATTCGTAAAGGTGGTTGGTCGTCGTTCGTCGGGCCTCGAATACGAGATGAAACTTGAATTAAACAAGAAACAGGAGTACGACGTTTGTTCGGAGAAATAAAATTAAGCGATCCACGTATAAGAGACAGAGGGAACCGCGGTTTCGATTAAAAATTATTTCCAATCACGATCGTTATTCCTCTGTCTACTCGCGACGCAGAACCTCGTTCGCGTGTATTTTACGTCTGTGTCTTTTTGGCAAACGATTTCACCGTCGAGATACGGAACAAGTAAAGAATAAAAATCGTAATTAAGGATCGCGAGGACCGAGCGATTACCGAGACGACACGATCGCTGTACGAGACGTTGCAACGTTCGTTCGCGACGTCCATTTGCTCCGTCCAAGTAGAGTAACTTACGAGAAAGGAAGAGAAAAAAGAAAAAGAAACAAAGAGAGGAAAAGTATCTCTTAAATTTTGTTGCTTAAAGGAACGCAGATGTTGCCGGAACCGCGTTTCCTTTATCGCAGACGAATGGCGGGCAAAAGTTAATTCAAGGAATTCGACGTGCTTCTAAAAGCTTACACCACACGATCGATATAGCTTACGGTGGTTTACGAAGTAAATTAACGCTGTAAATGCTGACATTCCGAAAAATTTGACAGTCCATTTATCAACTCTGTTTGACGAGAATTTAACGAATAAAGTACAGATTCTAAAAGAAATAATTTATCATTATGATAAAAATGCGATACGATAGAAAGCACCGTAAATCCTTCGTTTCTCACGGCGAACAATTATCGTATAATCGGGAATACCTTTACGCTTTCACGTTTCTATCAAGCGTTCTTTCAGAGATTTACGTCCCGCCGTTGTTCAGCGTAATCGTTCTAGCAACGAAACCACCACTACCATCGCGTCGAAGATGAGACGGAGCGGTCGGAGCTTGCAAATGGGAAGGTTAGCACGTCATCCACGAGGAGGGACGAGGGTCGGACGGTGTTTATGAATCGATCCTGGAATTCTAGCAGCCGAAGGCAGATGCCTTTTGGTCCGCTTCTTATATTCTATTCTACATGGCAATGTCAAACACGTTCATCGAACTCGTCACAACTTTTCTTCGACGAAACGAGAAAATCGACCATACCTGTGTTTGTTTAATTATCGATCGGATGAAAACCGACCATTGACAGCGTTCTTCGTCGAGGTCCTACACGCGACGATACAAAACACGATCCGATACTCTGATCTTCGACTAATTTTTAAACTCAACTTTCTCGAAAGTCAGACTCGAAGCGAAAACATTGTGTTCTACGTTTTCGACGCAATAATAATAACTTCCTGTCATCTGTCTCTGTATCCTTGATTTTCGTCTTATCTCGAATCACGAAATCTTCCCCGCTTCGTTCGTACCACCAATTCATTTGTTAACAACCGAATATGCGTATATCGATCGAGGGATAAAAAGACCAAGTTAAGCTAAGTTATATCGGCTTTAGAATAAAGTTTTTGTTTTTCGAGAACCGCTCGGATAATCCGGCATCGTAGAAAAATAGAGTGCAACGCAGAGTGCGAATTTTTTCTAGATTTCCAAGCTTGTTCACAGCCAGAATGGGTTAATGTAACTGCATTACGCTTTTTGTTCTACGACCGTGGTAATCGATCAACGTTCTCGAAAACAACTGTTTTTTTCGAATAGTGTACAAAAATTGAGGTAAAACCGCTGTGTCGTGTGCTACCATCCGCTCTTTTCCAACCTACTATATACGTATATTTAACGATATGCAATCTATCTGTGCAATCTATCGTTTCTGTTATGAAATGTCCACAAATTTCAAGGGCAAAGGACCGAAAGGTTTCATTTATGTCGCGATTTAGATAGTTGCCTTTTTATATCCTGTTACGTTAATATTTTTCAAAGTCAAAGTTTCGTTCCATCGAATCGCAACTCGACGACTAACGATTCAACGAAGAAACGTTTGAAACATTTTCAAAGTTTATAACGCGTTTTACGATCTCGCGTTTATACGCGTTTACGAATATCCATTGATTTCGAATTGCAGGAAGAGCTCTCATCTTATAATTATTCCACTTTTCGTCAATCGGTGTTCCGATAATCGAGCTTCCACTTTCAGCTTTCTGTTACAAATCGATCCGCCGAATTATACGTCTCAGAATAGAATTAAAATAGTAAAACCTCGCTAGAAGCTTCTAGAAATCAATTTCCCGTGAATACGTAAAAATTTCGCGATCTAAATACAAATGGAAGGTCAGGTAAATGCTTAAATGCATGCGCATAGATAACAATCGAACGACTATTGAACGTATTCTTCGCAGGTTTTCGATTTTCCAGACGCTCTCGAAAATTCAGCGTCTCAGCGGTTCTCGAGCTTCGATACCGGGGGGAGTCGAGCCAAAGTACTGTTTTACGTCGTGGCTACGAAATTGCCGTCGATGAAATTTTTAAAGGGTCACGCGTCATCGATTCATAGGCATTCACGGCCATTCATGGGCATGCCAGGACGAAAGTGGTGCGTCGTAATAACTCGATTCGATCTAGGGGTGGAGGTCATTCGTCTGGCTAGTCTGGAAAGCAACTATTCGCCAGCGGAGGAGGCGCTGAACTTTGTCGGGAGAAGGAATCTGTACAGGAATCTGTAATTCGTTTCTTCTTCCCTTTCTGATCCGCAAAATCTTCTATCTTGTAATATGTAATTCTTGATATATGTCATTTTGTTTTCACATTATTCTACTACTTGACCTTATTTTAAGGAATTAACGATTATTACCAATACTATCAGATCACTATCTCGGGCAATTATTAGAAATTATTACGAGTATCACCAAGTTTAACTCAAATTAAGAAGAAGTTTATTGCGAATATTATTAGATATAAAAACGATTTAACGAATTAATTCGATCAATTATCGCGAACATCGCGTTCATACACCCTCTGTAAATTCCCTCATTTTATACGAAGCGGATCAGAAAGGGAAGTATAGTTGGACAATCGCATCTCATCGTTATTTTTAGCAACTTTGCTAACCACGGCCGAGTTATACGTTTCTACAACGTACTCGTTATTTTAACAGCAGTGTTAGCAGAGATGTTTAAACAAGTTTTAGATAAAAAAACTTGTGTGGTAACACGGCTAGCAGCTCTACAATTTGAAGAAGTTTGTTTCGATGAAACGTACTCTCGCAAATATTTAAATAATTTCAATACCGTAAATTGCTGTTCAACGCGTACGTAATAAACGAGTTAAATTCTATCGAAAGACCAGTCGAAACAAACGAAAGAGCAACGTTACAGAGATTGTACTAATGAAAAGCTATAAACTGTAGAGATTAAACAATTTTATGAAATGTAGATCTTTATAGGGA